CAGATGCGCGGAGGCCTCCTCTGAGGAGGAAAGACCTTGAGGCGAAACAAAGCCACAAAGATGACGACTGTCGCATCCTGGCCTTCCTGGGGGGGCAGAGGGGGCAGAGGAAGGGGCCGGTCTCACCCCGCCGCGGCTGCAGCGCCCGGGGCTCCTCTGGGAGCGCGGCCTGCCGGGTGCTTGGCTCTTCCACCATCACCGGCCACCGCATGACCCAGAGCACGCAGCCCCCACCCCAGGCCACGGCAGGGCTGGACCGCCAGACCCACCCTCGTGTCTGCAGCTCTGAGCCCCCGGAGCACCCCCTGCCCAGGATGGGCCTGGGACAAAGGCGCGGGCCCCGGGAGTTTCTGCCACGATGTCAGCCCTTGGGCCTGCCGAAGGGACCCGGAGGACCAAGGGGGAAAACGAGAGCCCTGGAAAGGGGGGCTCCCTGAGCCCCGCATCCAGCCACGTCCTTTCTGAGCTCTTCTCTCCGCACCAGCTCCTGACAGGTCGGTAGGGGCGGTGACCATGCCCGCGAGCCAGGCCGCGCTGCCCGTGGCGTGTCGCCAGCCCGACTTTTCCAGGTCGCCGGAGTTCCCCGGGCCTCTTGGCAAGCGGCAGGGCCCGGCCATCCCGGCGCGGCTGACGGAGGCACTTCCCCATGGTGAAGCGTCTCGTTCTATTAGAAATTTTGCTCTTATAAATAATTCTTGCATAAATATCTTTGGTACATTAACCTTTACGGTAGTTTTGATGATGCCCTTCGGGAGTTCTTACAAGTACACTTTACATGTCAGAAGGGAAGCGTGACCATTCCCACGCGTGTGCCCACATGGCTTTCCAGCAGGTTTGTGTTCGCAGCCCCGTGGTGACAGCTGCTGCCTCTGCTCTCACCCGGCGGCAGCTCGCTGTGTCCTATGCACACTGGTTAATTTTGATGATTAGAAAAAGTGTCATTTTTAGAACCCAGGTCTCTAGCATTCCAGCGCTTTCCACCATATCAAATACCACTTCGGGTTCCATCCCCTCTCCAGAGAAGGAAGGAAAGGAAGGGAGAAGAGGACCGAGTGGGGGGACGGGCGGGGGGGGGGGGGGCGGGGAGGGGAGATTCTGCCGGACAGAGAAGCGCGATGACGCGCGGCCGGCGCTGAGGAGCCCTGCATCAACGTCAAGCCGGGGGAGAAGCTTCCTCGGTGCTGCCTTCCACGCGCATTATGAATGCCCTTCATTACAGAAGCCTCGTCTGCCTTCACGGCGCTCCGCTGCCCTCTGGGTGATTCATGTGCGGCCCCCAGAGCCCAGCCCTTCCAGGAACCCCCGCGGCCCCCTGCCAGGAAGACCCCGCCTGTGGAGAAAGGCTGCCCTTGGCGGGGCGGGCCCTGCAGGGGGCAGGGTGTGGGCCCAGGCTGGAGCTCGGCCAGGCCGCTCGGACACGGGGCTTCTCCAGGGGTGCGAGAAGCTTCCCCTCCAGGGAATGGTGCTCGGGGTTGGGATGCAGAACTGGCTCTTTAGGGGACCCGTTTGGAGGCTGTAAGCAGTTTTCTGGGACGTTCGCTTCCTGCCAGGCAGGCCTCTCACCTGCTCTGGGGTGCCCCAGGCCGGTCTGTTAGCACGAGCCCCACTCGCTGAGCGCCTGGCCCTCGCCCCTCGGCACGCACCCCCAGAGCGGGGCCCCGGGCTCCCGGGGTACAGGCCTCAAGCACCTCCATCCCGCTCCTTGGACCCTTCAGGAGAAAGCGCCCCGCAGGGCCGTAGCTCACGCGTGGGCTCTGCGCCAGAACACGGCCGGGCCCGCCTCCTCCCGCGCCCGGTGTCTCTTTAACGCGCAAAGCTTCACCCCCACCACCTTCCAACCCGCAGCCTCCCCCTGGCCTCCAGCCCCCGCGGGCGCCCGCTCTACCCCGTCTCCGAAGTGTCTGTTTTATTCATTCCCAAGTCCCTGCTCCGGGAGAGTCTGCAAGCCCGGGTGCTCCCGGCCCTTTGGGGCGGCTGGGCCCAGGCGTGCCTGCTGACATGACCTGGGGCGGGGACGCCGGTGAGTTAGAGAATCAGGACTAAGAACTTGGCCTGGTCACCCCCTCCTGAGTGCCCCGGGAAGCTGCCCCGGGGACAGCTGCCCCTGTGCATTCAGCCAGGGGGCTGGGGTCCAGCCAAGGGTCTTGCTCTGAGGCACCGAGAAGGCGGTTGAGCGTCGCCCTCCTTTAGAGCCTCGTCTTCCCGGATCTAGGGCCTCAGCCATGAGCCCCCCACAGAGCCCACGTTCTCTGAAGCCGTCACTTGTCTGGAGACGGACCAGCTGGGCCCCACCCTTGGCTTCCATCCCTCGCTGGGGCCAGGTGAGGCCACTCCGTTGCTGGGTTGTGTTACTAGAAGAGATCGTACACGCGTGGGTCCGCCTCAGTCTGTGGACCCGCCTCAGCCTGTGGACCCGCGATGCTTCTCCCAGAAAGGCCAGAGACAGACAGGAAGACCCGGGAGCTGCAGCGAGCGGGCAGAGTCGCAGCTTCCCCAGGACCCGCCGCACGGAGGAGGCTTCGTCTGCAAAGGCACGCCCCGCCTTGCCCAGCCCCTGTGGACACGCCCGAGCCGCCGCAGAAGGACGTGCCTGTCGGCGCAGGAGCCACACAGAGCCAGGGCCGAGCCGGAGCGGGCTTTGGGCTGCAGCTGCTTTCCAGGCCTCTGCAGGGCAAGCGAACGTGGCCAGGAGTCGCTGCCCTCCCGCCGTCAGTAGAGATGGCGGACACCTGCGGGCTGCACGGGGGCCTGCGGACACTGCAGTGGGGCGAGGGCATGCGGAGGTGGGCGCACCTGGGCTGAGGCTGGGCTTATAAGGGCGGCGTCACGGGGGCGCCAGCAGTGGTAGAAGCAGTGAGGAAGCAGAGACAGCGGGGACACCATGAGCAGAGGGCCCAGCGAGAGAGAAGACTCGCCGGGGCTGGGAGCCTGCTGGCCTCCCGGCCCCCTGCCCCCCGCCTACCGGGTACCTGGGGCCGCGCTGCAAATGAGGTAAGAAGCTCAATAAAAACCTGAAAAGCCACCGAGGGCTCCGGGTCGCTCCTTTACCCGCCTGCCCGGTTTGTGGAGTCCTGCTCTGCGCCTGCTGGCGCTACAGCCTCTTATTTCCTTACAACCATCACTGGGACTGTTCTGCCTCCTCTGAGCGTCTACATAGCAGTGACACCGCTATGGGGTCAGACACAGGGAGACGGAGGCCAAACTGCCAGCCAGCCTGCCCTGCCTCCCTGGGCTGCTGAAGCCACCTCAGAATCAGCACCCATTTCAGAAAAGGTTCAGTTTCACGTGAGCAGCGGGGCCAGGGAGGCCGTGGAGTTCCCGGCCGCTGCTTGGGGCTCACCTTTTTATTGACTAAAGTGGTTTCTCTTTCCAAGGGACACGTATTCTCTGCTGGAGAGTATTTGGCTTTTAACTACAAATGGAGAGAAAGTTTTTGAAAGTTTATCTATAAAGCAGAGTGTCTTGTCAGGGGTTGGGTACCTGCTTGAGCTCTGGCCTCCTGGCTCTGGCTCAGTGTTTGTCTATGTCTAGAGGCAGAAGGACCACTGAGCAGGTTTTCTGATCCAGCAGACCGGGTGAAGGAGGAGTCAGAGCCCTCAGTGGTTTTTGCAGGTCTTTTATTGGGATTTACCTGGTACACAGCAGGCAAGGGTGCTGGGGGGCCGGGAGGCTGGCAGGCCTCTCAGCCCCCAGCAAATCCACACTCTATCTGGGCTCTCCGGTGACCTCTGCTTCTGCTTCCCTGCTTCTTTCTCGGCTTCTCTTTCAGCTTCTGCTGGCGTCCCCATGACGCAGCCCTTAAAAGCCCAGTCTCAGCCCAGGTGAATCCCATCTACCTATGCCCCACCCTGCTCCAGGTGCCGCCATCGGGCATGCATTCAGGACCGCAAGGATCCATCATCTATCCTGATGGCGGGAGGGCAGAAAGCCTGACATTTTTCCTTACTCTACACTATGAATACAATGAAATCACACGTCACCGCTGTTCTTGACTTTGGGGGAAAAAAAACGTATTTTCCCCATCAGGCTGAAGCTCTCAGGTCAGTGGGCTCTGCGTCGCGGCGATGCCTCATGCAAAATGAGTGTTTAGTTTATTATCTGCCGAGGCCGGGAAGTCTCCACGTGATAAGTGACACATTCCTTTTTTTTTTTTTTAAGATTGATTGACTTATTTATACAAGCACTGGGTACAGTCAGAAGCGCGGGAGGGTGAGAGAATCCACCAGAGCCAGAGTGGGGAGCAGAGCAGGCAGAAGGACCGAAGGACACTGCTGAGGGGAGCAGTGGGCGGCAGGAGAGGTCTGTGCGCCATGTGGGACCCTCGCCGGCGGCCGGGGATCGAACCGGCGCTACAGAGGCTGCGGGCAGCTTCACAACCCAGTGCTCAACCTCTGTGCCCCGGGGGCGGCCCAAGTGACACATTCTTACGAGCAATCAGACATGTACTGTGCTGGGCGCTCATCACAGCGGCGAGGGAGCAAACCCCGTCCTCTGGAGCGCGTGTTCCAGCGCAGACACACGTGCAGGTGCACACGCCGGCTGTGGACGCAGGCGGGGCGTCATTCCGGAGAGATGCGGGGGGCTTGGGTGTGCAACGGACGCGGGGTAGATGCAGACAGAGCCTGAACACAGCGCGGAGACACGAAGCCATGTTCTAGAGCTAGGGAGGCGAATACCGGCTATTTCAGCCCTAGTGATGGAGAAGGTCTCTCGGGAGATCCGCTGAGCCTGTTGCTGCCGCGTGGAGGCCTCAACTGGCCAGCCACGCGGGGCCCTGCGAGGACAGCTCTGGCTGCCATGCGAAGAGTAGACTCTAGGGGGCAGCAGAGTTTCCGGAGAAATAGCTCCCCTGGGGGAAGAGGAACTTGGGGGGCAGGAGGGAAGAGAAGAGGGGAGAGAAGGGGCCACTCTAGTCCCAGATTATGTCACATTGGCATCCCTGGGGAATTTTAAGGAATTTTTTTAAGTTTATTTTTTTTAAAGTTTAATTCAAGGTTGTATTTTTTTTTTTTTTAAGATTTTATTATTCATGCATACAAGAACCGGGGCACAGGCCAGAGGTGTGGGGGGTGAGAGGATCCACCAGAGACAGAGCAGGGAGCAGAACAGGCCGAGTGATGAAACACACGGCTGAGGGGAGCAGCGGGCACGGCGGGAGAGGTCTGCTGCGCCATGTGGGAATCTCCCTCGCCGGCCGGGAATTGAACCTGCGCTGCAGAGTCTGGAGGCGGCTTCCCAGGGCTGAGCTCAACCTTCTGCGCCACGGGGGAGGCCCTGCTTCAAGGTTTAGTGGACACCAGTACATTATGTAAAACACTGTTGCCAATAATGTTTTTGTAATCAAGACAGTAACAAATGGAAGAACAATTTCCCTGCCTCCCAGCCTCTTGAGAGAAGGGACAGCGGATTTAGTGGATCCCATTTGTCTTGCAACCAGAGGTCAAGGCCACCAGAAGTGAAGGGCTCCAGTCTCCCGGGAGGAGGCGCTTCCTGTTTTGCAAACAGAGAGTGTTATTCAAGGTCACATGTCCATCTTGTAGGGAATGATTCCCAAGTTTCCTAGGTCAATTCTTGTATCCATTACTTGCATTTATGCAAATGAAAGAGGAAAAAAATCAATGATTTAGTGAACGAGAACCCCAGTTGTGCCCACGGTCACCTTGCAAACGCAGGTCCTGTTCGACAGCCCTGCCTTTAATGCAACGTTCTCCAGGTGAAAGCAGCCAGACCCACGAGTCACTGTTCAGAGGCAGGAGGAAAATACCCCCAAAGTTCTGACTACAGAAAATACGGAAAGAGATTTTCTTTTATGGCCCCACACAGGTATATATCTGTTGGTTTATTTTTTTAGCAACTCAGAATAGATGGTTTGGGTGCAATTATTTTTTCAATTAAAGCACAGAAAACAGTCTTTCCTACCTCAAAGATGAGCACAAAATGCAGGACATTGGGATCAGGTTCAGCCAGAGTGAAATCTGACAGCTCCCCCAAAGCCGCATTATTTTGGAGAAACACACCCCCCTTCGCCCAGGCAGGGTGAGCACGACCTGGGCCGGCACACCCCTTCATAACATCCTGGAGACCTCCTGGGAAGGTGGACACTGCCTTTCCTGAGAGTGGTGTTTTGGTGATTTGGTCAGCAATGACAGGGCGGGCCCTGAGGGCTGCGTGAGCCGGTCACATGGCCGCCTCTCCAGCATCCAGTTACAGAACCGGGAGGGGTGGGTGGGAGATGCACGAGCCAATAAGTAAGACCAGGTGAGAGCCCGGAATGTTCTTAATGCAGCTCTCAAACCACCAGCCTCACAAGGGAGGAAATGCTCGTGTGTGTTTGTGCGCATGAAAGCGCGCGCGACATCCACAGCAGCAGACACGCCAAGAGACCGCGTGGTGTGGGACTTGGGGGAGGGGAGGAAACTTCCTTCTCACCTTACATCAGCTACCAGCAAATTAGATGCCCCGGAGCCGGGCAGCGCCTGCCGCAGCCTCATTTCCACCACTATTAAAGGAAGAGATCGAGTTCTCGGACCAGAAGGTCCTTCTTTGAGTAGCTTCCTGATCCTGGGGCTGCATTTGGAATTCTTGAAGCAAGAAATTAGCCACTTTTAAAGATTTGCAACTTTGACCTAGAAACGTTCCCTGTTCTGGCCTTTGTTTTCGCATTAGAGCTGCGTTTGAATAAACAGGAGAAGAAGACCCTTGTTTCCCAGCTCTCCCTGTGTGCTGAGGGCGGGACCTGCTCACAAAAGAACTGCTCCCTGCGAGTGTTTCAAAGGAGCACTTCACTCCCTCTAGCGGAACCGTGAAGGATTTGCTATAAACAATGGATTTCCTTCATCCAGGAAGCAAAGAAAAACAGCAAGCGTGACTGAGTTGTAACCGGCTCCCACCAAACGCAGCTTGTTACAGACTCACCCCCAGATGTCTTCAATATTTCACTCGCTTACAAAAATGCAGAGATTAACGATGAAAACCTGCAAAGTCGATTTAGACCAATGCACTTTCCACATGGACCCCCAGGCCCAGATTAGAGGGTTTCTATTTGATTTATGCCCACAAGTGGCTCCAGACCAGCTCACGTATGGAAATGACTGAGTCAGGGCGTTTCACTGAACGAGACAAGCAGCAGAAAGCCCCAGCCAGAGGGCGCCTTGGCTCGAGAAGCAGATTTCAAGTGAGTTTGATGTGATAGAGTTTGACGTGGCTGCACAGTCAACACACGTGTGTACCCGTGTAGGGAAAATGAATTCATCAGGCTTTTGTGCCACTGGCCTCTGTGGCCATCACTTGCTGCCTGATCTTGTTAATGTGGAGGGCGCGAGGGCACGGGGAAGCGTGCCTGACTGTGGACACCTGAGCGTGGGTGTGAGCACGTGTGTAAGGGTGCACACTGGAGCCTGGAGGGGCAGGGCTGTAAGGGCGGCATCATTCAGACAGGGTGTAGGGGAAGTGATTATCAGGCTTTCCTGCCCTCCCGCCGTGAGGATGGATGAGTGTAGGGTAAGGAAAAATGTCAGGCTTTTCTGCCCTCCCGCCATCAGGATAGATGATGGATCCTTGTGGTCCCGAATGCATGCCTGATGGCGGCACCTGGAGTAGGGTGTGGGCATAGGTAGATGGGATTCACCTGGGCTGAGACTGTGCTTTTTAAGGGCGGCGTCACGGGGACGCCAACAGAAGCAGAAGAAGCCAAAAGAGAAGCCGAGAGAGATCACCGGAGAGCCCAGATAGAGTGAAGACTTGCTGGGGGCTGGGAGGCCTGCCAGCCTCCCGGCCCCCCAGCACCCCTGCCTGCATATGCCTGGTGAACCCCAAATAATAGACCTGCAAACCCCCTGAGGGCTCTGACTCCTCCTTTACCCGGTCTGCATGGGATCAGAAAACCTGCTCAGTGGTCCAGTCCTGCCCTTACAATGAGGGAGCCCTGCTGTCCTGAATGCACACCTGATGGCGGCACCTGGAGTGGGGTGTGGGCATATGTGGGTGCACCTGGCTGAGAGACTGAACTTATAAGGGCGGCATCACAGGGATGCCAGGAGAACAACGAGAGAAGCAGAAAGAACGCGAGAGAAGGCCGGAGAGCCCAGGAAGAGTGAAGACTTGCTGGGGGCCGGGAGGCCTCCCAGCCCCCCTGGCATCCCAGCGCCCCTGCCTGCCGTGTACCTGGTAAATCCCAATAAAAGCCTGAAAAGCCACCGAGGGCTCCAGGACGCACGTCTCCTTTCCCCGGTCTGCTCGGGTCATAGAGAACCTGCCTCGTATTGTTCCTGCCACTTACAGGGCACCAGAGCAGGAGCGGCGTGGCTACGGAGGAGGCAAGGCCAGGGCAGATGCCAGAGAGCCCAGGGAAAGAGGTAAAGACTGGGGGCAGGGGGTTTCTGACGCCTGCCTGCCTCCCAGCCCCCCACCAGGCCCCATGCCTGCCTTCCTGCCGGGTGTGCCTTGTTCCCTGGGAGAGCATTAAAGCCTGAGAAACCCACTGAGGGCTCCTGGACTCTCCCGGACCCACAGTGAGCCTGCGTGAGCGTCCCCTGATCCTGTCTCTGAAAGGTGGCCCCGGGCTGGGGCCTCCTCCCTGGGAAGGGACTGAGGAAGACAACTCCAGGGGGCCAGCAGCCATGAGCCCCAAGGTAGGCCACGCTCACTGTGAGGGCGACAGCAAGCGTCTTCCCGGGATGCCACAGCGCCCGCGCGCCGACTGTGGTGCAGACCCACCTCCTGCTCGTGTTTCCTGAGTGACACCCTGGCCCAGGCGCCAGATGCCAGCTTGGAGAGGGGCCAGACTGGGCCTTTGAAGACCGGGAAATCCGACACTCTGAGCATTTGCTTTAAAAGGAAAAAGCGTGTGCATTACCCTCGGAGATGGTGAGAAGATCGAGTCATGGCACGTCTTAAACTGATAGGGCTAACTATTTTTTCCTTCCCCACCCAGCTGTGCTGCTCCCCAGGAAGGAAAGTCACTTATAAAAACAGAGAGGACACTGCCCCCGCCACCTCCGGGCAGCTGTGGACGGGATGAAGGTCACAAAGCTTTTGAAGTAGAAAAAAAAAAAAAGAGACGCCTGCCTGGGAAACCGAGCCCAGCCTCCATCTCCGCGCCCTGCTCAGGGCCAGGCTCGGCGCTGGCCAGAGCTGCCGCACGGCGGCCCCCGGGGCTGACAGGGAACTCGCAGGCCGTGCGCTTGCCCACGTGGAGCACAGGTAAGCGTCTGACCCCTGACTCCAAGATTCTGGAGGTCCAGGGCCAAGGTTTGGGCAGAAGTCCTCTCCCTCCGGGACCCAGGCAGAGCCTGCACTGTCGTCCGGCAGGGCTGGGAATCCCCTGGGAGGCGTCTCGGGCCCTGCCCTGCTGTGGCCTGGCGGTGCTGCCGTGACCCCACAGCCCATCCCCCCCTCTTCTTAGCATGCCAGTCCCTGGAGAGCGCAGCCTCTCACCAGCAGCATCGCCTTAAATAAGTACCAGAAACCCTACTTGATTCAGATCAGCTCACGCGCTGAGGTTCACAGCAGCAGGGGAATTTTGAGGCGATGCATCCGAGCAAGGCCAGCGCGGGCGCGTCCAGGCCTGCTCTCCTTGCTCCGGCACTCTCCCCGGAGCCGCAGGAGGGCTCAGTCTGTGGGCTCAGCGTCCTGCCCCGCGTGCTGCGTCCCACCCCACAGCCCCCGCCTGGGCCTTCACACACACTCAGTACCAGAGCGCGCGTCTTCCAGGCTGCGCGCGTATCCGGGGAGAGCGTGCGGATGGGCTGCTCCCCAGCCACTCGTCCTCAGGGGCGCACCCGCCGCCCGCGTCAGCCCCGCTCTGCTGCTCACCTTGCCATGAGGGCTTGTTCCTGATTGCAGATGCTGTCGTTTTTAGTTCTCAAATTTTCACTTGACGCCCTTTGCAGAGGTTTGGTTTCTCTGCCGAGTTCTCTTACCTTTCATTCATGGCCAGTCCGTTCCCTGTAAACCCTCGCCAGTTATCGCAGCCACTTCCACGGCCGCCTGCCCTCCCGCCGCCCGGCCCTCCGCGTCCCTCTTGACTGCACTCTCCTGATAACGCGTCCCTTCTCGGCTCCCCGGGGTGTGATCTGGGATTGCATCTTGCCTATCGCGGTGTTATCTCGTGGAGACGCCGGGTTCTGCTGGTGTCCCTTAAACAGAGTTGACGGTCTGCGCCTGTGCGAATCAGGGCCCGGCCCAGCCACGACGGGCAGAACGTGCACAGGCAGCCTGAGTGTCCCCTCCCTGGGCGTCTCTTGCGTAAACTTCCCCTTGGTCTCCCAGCGGCCTTGCTTCACAAGAGGAGGACGGACTTGCATTGTGGGCAGCCAGGTGCCAAGCTGCACGCCGCCCCGGGCCAAGGAAGGAGGAGGATGATGGTTGGGACAAACCCCCCCCCCGCACCCCCCCTCCCCGGACGGAGCTGTGTGGAGGGGCCCCTGGGGCCCTTCCCAGGGAGGAGGGGCTGCCTCACTCGATGCTTGGGCCACGCCTGCCAGGGGGACAGGGCCGTGGACAGTGATCTACCTGAGCAGAAAGCCCTCTCTTTGGTATTCGCCGTGCGGGAGGGATGACGCTGCCCTAAAACATGCAAGACAGAAACGTCCTCCCCTGCTCAAGAGCACGTTGCCCCTGAATTCCACATGGCCCCCCAAACTCACACCTTTTAAGTTACCGGGCCCCGAATTCCCTCCCACAAAAGCCACACAGCGGACCACTTTCCAGAAAAGCGCCACAGCACAGGCCGGAGCATCCCAGCCAGTTCACCCACCGGGTCATGGAGGGTGGCGTGCGGTTTCCCCGGATGGCCGGCGCCAGCCCCCCAGAAGGCCTAAAGTCTCAACGCCAGCCACGTACTGAAATATCACATCCTTTTTCAAACTTCATCCTTGTTGTGACAGGAACTGTTGCCACTTTGCAGCAGGAACGCAATGAGGGACGCAGCAGGCATGGAGCAGGCTTCAAGGCCAGACTCTGCTGCTGGAGCAGACGTCCTTGTGCCGTTTATTGGAAGCACACGGGCTGGGGCAAGCTGATCGTGCAGCAGAGGTATGAGGAATAAGGTCTGGAGGGTAGGGCAGGAATGGGGGACAAAGTTTTATAAGGGGCAGGGAAGGGGACATCGTGACCACATGTCAAGAGCCACTTGCGTCAGCAGAGTGTGATGTTATCACTGCAGAGGTATCCCGAGGCCACCATGGAGTCACGTAAGCAGGTCGGCAGCGGCCTGGGCATCCCCAGCCTGCCTGGTGGTTCGGGCTAACTCCAGAGGTGGTCAAGGATGCTCTGCTGGGCTCTGCAGGTGGCAAATAGGCCACCGCTGCCCTGAGTGGCCAACTAGTAGCCAGCTCATAGGAACCCACACATCCTAACTTACGATCCCGTGAAACAAACCCGAGAAGACCTTAAATCTAATTACTGGGAGGGGCCTGCTGTTGTAAGAAATGGCAGACAAGAAAACAATCATTTGCATATAGGTCTTGAACCGGAAAGGATTCTAGGTGATCACTTGGTGCGGCCAACACCTTAAGACAAAGGATTAGCTCACCGGCTGGGGCAGATGGCAGGGACTGCTGAGTTCAGTGACTCACCCAAGGCCACAGAGCTATTAAGTTTCTATTTCCTCCAGTCAGACAGATCTCAAAGTAGGTATCGTTTATGATCGTTGGACATTCAAGTGCAAGATTATTTACTAAGAAATCTATTCCAGGATCCACTGAGCTTATCCAGCAAGAGGAATGAAATCCGAGGCATGGAAACACACAGCCAGCCTCGTGTTCAGTGTCCCGGCTCCCCTCCCGTTGCTGACGCAGGGCTCTGCGCCGAGGGACGGTGCCCCGGACATCAGTGTGAACACATGGCTGCCCGGGCAGAGGGACCCATCGAGCTCCATGCCAGCTGCTCCCTCCAGCCCCAGCCAGGCGTGCAGAGGGAAAGAGGGGAGCCTGACTGGTCAGGACTCAGTCCAGGGGAGGTGGGGACATCCGTGTCTGGAACACCTCGGGCCGGCTGTCCCTCTAGCTGACCGCAGAGGACCACCCTGGGGACCGCAGGCCTCAGGCCCAGGCCAGATGCCTCTTGGGGAAGCGGCCCCAGTGTGGGAGTGTCCTGGGATAGGATGTGGGGTGCGGTCATGATGGTGGGGTGCAGCCAGGCGAGGACGAAGCCCCCTCTAGGTATCCAGGTCTGTGGGGTGCCAGGCAAGGGCGGGGAGGGACTACGGCATCTCCAGTTGACTTGGAAGCACTTTTGGTGGCTTCTGCACATGTCAGGCTTTCTAGACACAGATGTCTTGGGCTCGCAGAGGATGAGGTGACAAGTATGCTGCACGGTGACACGTGTCTGCTGCATGGGTCCCTCAGGAACAAGCTACTGGCCCTGGAGCAGCTGCAGGTCACAGTGGCCGCGGATGAGGCCGAGCACTGCCTGGAGCACCTCCTCGCGGGCGGGGCTGGCGTCCACCAGGTGGCAGGCTGGGTTCTCCATGCGCTGGTAGGTCGTCTCCACCCTGGCGAGGCAGAGGGCACTACTTAGAAGCTGTGCAAGCTTACACAACTCACGTAACCTTTGGGGCTGAGGTTTGGAAAATGTCAAATATGGCTGATGCCATCCTGGCAAGGATTTCAAAGCGTCCCGGGGAGAGGCCCGTCCCTTGCGGCCATCAGCCAGTGCTGCACCACTCTGCTATGACTCGGGAAACTGAGGCCGGGTGCACGCTCGCGCTGGCACTGCTCGTGCTGGACACGGGGTCAGACCACCCACGCCCAGCCGCCCCGCGTTGGCAGAACGAGTGCTGCAGGCCCACTGACAGGCATGACGGGGCTGAGCCAACGAGCAAGACATGGTCCGTGGGGCTCACCGGGGGAGAGACTCCCTCTCGGCCCTGGCTCGCCACCACGACAGGGACCCCACACCCCAGGGCTCGGGCACCTACTTCTGGCGGAACACACTGTTGCTCTCCAGCTCGGCCTCCTCCCTGGTCCTCTCCAGGCCCCGGCCCGCGAGCCGCCGCACCCTCTCCTCGGGGCTGACCGTGAGCAGCAGCACCAGGTCGGGCTCTAGCAGGTCCCGCGGCCACTGGTATATGGGGTGATGGGCGGGGGGCAGGTGCTGGACACCCCCAGTCACCTCCGTGGCGATGGCGTAAGTGGCCGTGCTGTGCCAGTACCTGGGAGGAAAGAAGGGCGTGTAGAGGTCAGAGTGGCCCCCGAAGAGCGGCCACTGGACCTCCAGGCTGGCCTGCCGACGCTCCCGATTGTGTGAGTTCAGTAAATAAAGCTGCATTTTATCAAATAAACATTCACACAATATCAACATAACTTAGCGGCCGCGTCTGGGCGCAGCGGGCCCTTCACAAGCTACAGCGACCCCCCCTCGGCCGTGGGCACTGCTTCCCTGGGGCGGGCCGGGTGGCGAGTCCGGAGTCCCGGAATGCAGCGGCGGGTCGTGACCAAATCAAAACCTGCCACCCAGGCAGTTCCCACATGGCCTGACGTGAGCGTGCACAGGGCACGTGTACCCGGGGCCTGGTGAGGAGGCCCTGGGCCTGCCCACCTGCCCCCCCAATCGTGCCTGATGAGGCCAGGAGCCACGTCCACCCACTGGAAGGCTCAGAAGGCCCCAGCCAGGCCTCTATTCCTTCAGTGGCTGCTTTTAAAAATGTTTGGAGAGAAGGAAAATCACAAATGTCAGAGAAAACTAAGGCACGCCAGGGCCTCCCCTGGTGGCGCAGCGGTTGAGCGCTGGGCTGCGAAGCTTCCCGCAGCCTCTGCAGCGCTGGTTCAATCCCCAGCCACCGGCGAGGGACACGAGGGTCACGAGGGTTGTTAGGGTCCCACACGGCGCGCAGACCTCTCCTCCTGCCGCCCGCTGCTCCCCTCAGCAGTGTCCTTCGGTCCTTCTGCCTGCTCTGCTCCCCGCTCTGGCTCTGGTGAGTTCTCTCACCCTCCCGCGCTTCTGACTGTCCCCAGTGCTTGTATAAATAAATCTTTAAAAAAAAAAAAAAAAGAAAACTAAGGCACGCTGTTCTTCAGAGCGCCCCAGGACTCTGTAGGGGAGCACAATTCTGCCACCCCAAACTTTGCATTTCTGGCAAGAGGTTGATTCCATGAGCAGGTTCTGATGAGGCACCAATGACCCTCAGATAAGCCTGTCCTCCCCGTCTCCTGCAGCGCCCCTGGCCTAACAGGTTTGTCCTGCATTCCAGGGGAAAGGTTGTTCAAGGCAGTTGTTGGAAAAAGCCAGCAGGTGCCCACCTGCCTCTGTGCCGGCCTCCCCTGCCCTTGGCAGACCCTCGCCGGCTCCCCTTCCACTCCCCTTTGTATAAACACCCCTGCACCCTGACCCGGAGCAGGACGGGGTCTGCTGCCCTCCGCATTCGTCCACGAATTAAACCACTTCCCTTTTCCTCATACCTTGTTTCCCTTTATTGACGGAGGGACCTGAGGCCGCATTCGGGACAGTTCTGAGGACTGGGTGGGGCTGTTCTGAAAACCATGTTTACATGTGAACTTCTCTGTGTGGCTGCTCAGGGAGGGCTGCATCCTTACCTCCTTTCTGCACAGGCCGCGCTGGAATCCTCACAAGCCTGTCCACTGCCCTCCCTGGTGAGCTCCCCAGCGGACCCCCGTCTTCCCTGGACGTCTGTCCCCCGTGTCCCTGTTCCAGAAGCATCTGAAGCAGGAGGCCGAGCCACTCAGCACGCTGGGTCTCCCACGTACACAGCAGGCTGCGCGTCCCCACCGACTTCAGGCCGCCCTTTCCTCTCATCAGTCTGCTGCTTGGTTCCGGTCCGCCGGGAGGACCCGGAGGCACACAGGGGGCTTCCCTCTGCTCGCCGCCATTTTGTGCCGCCTGTGGGGAATGTTCAGTCTCCCTGGGGAGACACGGGCACCTTTACCTGTCCCTGGCTCGTGCCCTCCCCACCCGCCTTCGCACATTCTCCCCCCAGAGGGAGCGTCGCCCCAGCACGTCTCCTGCTCGCCCCACAGAGCCTGGCTGCCCCCTCTGGCCCCCAGCGCCCTCCACACCCAGCTCTGCTGAAACTCACTGTAAGTCAGAGCGAATTCTTGACAAACGTGACATCTCTGTCACCTCCATGACACCGTTCGTCCTTCCTAAGTCACCTGTATCCGCTGAACTGGAAGCCACCCCGGTGCCGAGGCCAGCAGGGAGGTCCCGGGAGCGCAGGGATTGGGGTCACCCTCCCCCTGGCCCAGCTTCTCACAGCGAGGAAACGCAGGACTCCAACCCAGGCTCGGGGCTGGCATCCAGGAAACACTGTGAACACCCCGAGCAGGGAGGTGCTGGGGCCCCCGCTTTCGATGTGCTGCTTTCAGTGCTTTAAAAACCGAGATCCTTCACCGTCTCGGGGCGCGGCCGCGCGTGCAGTGAGACGGCTGCGCCGCGGTGTCCCCGATGCCTTCCCGGCAGGGCCCGCGCCCGCAGTGTCACCTCCCGCCGCCTCCCTGCTCTGCGGGCACAGCGGGCGGCTCAAGCCGACGTGGTCTCAAGCCCCTCGCCCGGGAATCAGCGCGCCCGCCTCCCGGCCGCGGCTGCACACTCCCGCACAGGCGCTCGTGGGAGACGCCGCTACCTGACCTGGACGTGGGCTGGGACAAATGCCGCCTCACAGCCACGCACGACGCCGCCAGCACCGGACAGGACGGAGGATGGAAACCCCGGAGCCGAGCGACCCCACGCGCCCTTCCTGAGACGGGCAGGCGGGCTCGGCCTCACGGGGGCCCCGCCTCGGGCCCGGGTGCTCCTGCGGGCCGCCCCGCGTGTGACGCCCTGACGCCCAGCACTCACACGCCCGCCCCGTGCTTGCACGCCCGCCCCAGCACTCACATGCCCGCCCCAGCACTCACATGCCCGCCCCGCGCTGGCACGCCCGCCCCAGCTCCTTCACCGGAGGCCTCCCCCGAGCTCCATGGGGGTCGCGTCCCCCTCCCCAGCCACTGGACTCCGGTTCCGCTGTTGGGCCCGCGCTGGGCCGAGCTCATCCTAATGCAAAGCGTCTCCTTAGTGTGAACAACCACCAGCGAGGACAGATCCTTGAAGGTGATGAGGGTGATTCAGGCGCCAGCCGGCGCCCCAGCCCCCGCCTCCCGCTGCCCTCTCCCTGCCCAGCAGGCGGCGTCGACGCGGGTTTCATTAGAATCTTTAAACACGAACAAAACCCACCCGGACAGCAAACCACCGCTCTCTCCTCCTCCCGCGCAGGTGGGACGGCCTCCCTCGAAAGAACAGCATCCCGGGACGCGGAGGAGCAAAGCCAGCGCGGGGCGAGGCGGCTGCCTTCTCCTCCTGGGCCGCTGGGGGGTGACCCCCCGGCCTCCTCAGACTCCTGCCGGGGACCCCGCCGAGCGCAACTCAGAGGCGGCTCGTCCAGCGTCTCCAGGCTGACAGAACCCGCCTGATGTTTAAATGGCCACTGGCCATCTTCAAAGACAGCCCCTGCCCCGCAGGTGGGCAGGGAGGGCACGGGCTGCCCTGGGGGTCAGGGCCGGAGCGGGAGGGGCGCTGGCGGCTCTGGGGTCGCCGTGTCAGGAAGCAGCGAGTTCCACGCGGTCGCTGTGAGGAAAGTGTGGTCTCTGTCCTTGCTCAGGACTCGTATCCAGGAGGGTCTTAAACATGGCGGCGGGATCCAGAGCCCAGAGGCCCCCGGGAGCACGAGCTCCTGCGCTTCCCAGGGCTCCCGGGGACTTTGAAGCAACTGCCGTGTCGCCTAAGGTGGCTCCTGCTGCCGCCTGCCGCGTCCTCCTGTCGCCGCCGCCCACTGTCCCCTCGAGCCTGCACAGAGTGGCCTCTCTGTGGGGATTTCACGAAAGAGGTAGCAATCTGGTTCCGGGTAATGGCAAGCTGGCTGCGCGCCTGCTGCCTGGCCCGCCGGGCCCGGGGGCGAGCGGCGCAGGTAACCTGCAGTGCCCACGCTGGCGGGCAGGGGCGGGCGGGCGAGGGCCCTCACACGCGGGGGTCGAGGCCCCGAGAGCAGTTCCAACCCGGGGAGTCCCAGTGTCCAAGCTCAGAAAGCTTCCTCAGACACTGCCCAGCGGGACGTGCGTGAGCCGCAGCTGCACGCCTGGTCCACCAGCAGGACAGGATGCAGATGTGCGCCAGAGTCGTGGGGAAGGTGTTCACAGAACCCACGGTCACGGCAGAGCACGGGGAGACAGAGGCAAACAGCACGGCGTGGACAGGCGGCTCCCGGGCCAGTGGTGACCACGGGGTTTCTGGGGCAAGGTGAGGGCGAAGGCCTGATCGGGGTGCAGTCCGGGCTGGATGAGTTCCCTTCCAGAAGTTCCCGAAGACCCCATTTATGACCCGTTCTCGTCTGACCGCGCACCCTGCGTCAACGTGGCCGCTTCCTGCCCCCTCAGGCGCGAGCACACCAAGCGGGCGCTCATGTCAGCTAAGGGGTCCCCCGCCAGCAGGGGAAGTCCCCCCGGTCCTGGCCCTCCTGCCGCAGGCCAGTGGCACCCACCATCCTCCCTGCTCAGAGTCCCCCCTGCACACTGGCCTCCCTGCTCACCAGCGCCCCCTGCTCACCGCCCCCCCTGCTCACCAACACCCTGCTCACCGCCCCCCTCCCAGGCAGCACACTGATGATCTTTCTGCAACTGTTTCTTTCGGGGGCTCTACCAGGCCAGTGCCCAGCTTCTGTTGCCGCCGCCTTAGCTCTGGGTGGGCTCTTGGCCTTTCCAAGGCTGTGACATCATGAGCAAAAGCCGCAGTATTTGCGAGCGCGGGAAACAGCCTTCCTGGGGCGACGTCACCTGCAGTTGCCCCCGCATCTCTGTGCCGGGTGCTTCTCCCCCAGCACCACATCGGGGCGCCAGGCGCTCCCAGCATCTGCCACTTGGGTTTTAGGAAACTCAGAGCGAAATGGCACTTCCTCATGGCTCTAGTTTCCTGGCCTGAGTGGTGGACGCTCAGGCCTCGTCCGACTTGCTGGCCACACGCTCTGTCTGCCATCGAATATTTTTAAGTTGTTCGTTGTGCATGGATTTAATTTGTCGCTCCATTATCCCGCTGTGCTCAGAGTGGAATCCACACCCGCTCCCGCTGCAGCAGGCCCCCAGATCTGTCCTGGGCTTTCTCCGTCCGTCTGTCCAGAAAGCAGGCCTCACCCTCATGTTTTCAACACACAGCCCCTGTGGTCCTGGAGCGCGCCAGCCTCTTCTCTGCAGGGCCCGCTCTTGCTCTGCAGTGCTGTGTCCACGGAGTGGTCAGCAGCCTTCCCAGTCACTGGGCGCTCGGATCAAAGGCACCTCCTTGCAGCCCCTTAGGGAGGGGGCGTGGCCATCCTCTGCTCACCTTGACTTACCTCTCTGGAATGTCGGCTGATGGTGGCCGCACGGCCTCCATTATTCTCGTCTCTTCAACAGCACATTTACTCCAAGAAAGAGGACACTGTCCAGGTCAGTGATGACCGAATAATCTCACCCCTTAGTGGACGCTCAACAAATGTGCTGGTGAGCCACAGAGGGCACTGACTTGAAGCAGCGACTTTTGTGACTGTCCAACATGCTGTTTGTAGCTCAGTAACTCTGGCAAGCTGTCGCACCTTCCGAAGACCGAGGTTTCTCGCCGCAATTGGGGGAACATTTAACCTCGCCAAGAAACTGCTGCAGCTGTAACGCATGCAAAGCCCTCATCTCAGCAAGACCCTCGCAACGATGTGTGTGATTAGTAAGTCGTGGACTTCACTCCTGGTATCGTCACGGCACACTCTGACTTACGAGCACCATCTACTTCCGTATGTAGGCGCGTGCGCACACACACACGCACACACACGTGCACATACTCACACACACGAGGAGGAACAGCCAACTCCGGGCATCTTCACACCTACCTGTCCACAATCACAGGCGACGCTGCGGACGCCCTGGCTATCTCGGTAGCCACGATGTAATTGCCCAAGGAGTAAAAAGCTCTTCTAATGATTGTTGGTTCCTCGTCAAAGATTTGTCTCCAGTGGCCGATGCAAGCGGGTGGAGACCTCAAGAGGACAGCCTGGAGCGACTCGGCCACCGCCTGGGTCACGGTGGTTTTACCTGCAGGCCAGGGACAAAGCACAGCACATCTTGGCCCGTGCCAGGCCGCCCCCAAGCCAACACCCGCTCAGAGGGCACAGAGCCATCCCTTCTGCCTGGGGTCGCTAGTTCGGATCTTTATCAAGAGCTGCCCCCCTGAGGAACCTGGACTCCTCTGCTGGCGATCAGAACACCTGGAGGGAAAACACAGGGTCCTCTGGGCGTACAGGAGGGGCCAAGTCTGCGGGCGGCCGGGCGCTGGGGCCAGCTCCGCCTCATTGGGACGCCTTCAGCTGACTGACGGGGAGAAGCCCCTTCTGCCGTCCATTCCCATCCTGGAGCAGCTCGTGTTCCCCGAGACCAGCCTCCTCTGCCAGGGCTGACCTGGAGCACTGCTCCTGCTCCCCTGTCCTGTGAGCGGCTCCAGGCAGCTGCGACCTCCATTTGGCAGCCCCCAAGGCTTCTTCCCTCCGGCCCCTGTCCCCCCACATTTTGCGCCAACAGGCACCTTGACCTGCCTGTCCCCCTGGACGCACTCCAGGCTGGTGTCCCTCACCTTGGCCCACGTGGACTCCTCTGACTGGAGGACCCGCCCTCTGCCCAGCTCGGAAAACAGAGGCCGGGGACGGCCCTGGCTGAGCTCTCCCTGACAGCAATGCCACCCTCATGCCCCAGCCCAGCCGCACCCAGCACCCGGGGTCCCCGTGTCCTGCCCAGCATGGGCGGGCGCCTTCCCCTCCAGCTCCCGGACCTGCGGCCCCAGAGCTTGAGGACTCCAAGCCCATGTGAAGTTTCGTGCCCAGACCTGCCGTCCAGCAGCCTGTCCACCCACCACCGACCGCGCTGTCTCTCACGGAGGGCCCTGCTCGTACCTGTGGCGTCCAGGCCTTCAATGACGATGACTGGGAACTTCCCCTTCTGCACCTGCTCCGGGCACTGGTCCACCAGGTCAAGCACCGCGCGGGCCTCGGGGATGAAGGGTGTGCACTGGAAGGAAGGTCTGGGCCTCAGCAGGAAGCCAAGCCTGTGGCAGAAACCGCCCCTAACCGCCCAGTGCAGGCTGGCCTCCTGCCCAGGGGCTGCCCCAGCCCGTCGCATGACTAAGGAGAGCTGGGCCCCTCTATTTCATCCCGTGCCACTGAGGCTCAAAGGTCCTCAAAGAGGACCGCTCTGCACCCTCACTGCCCAGCTGCCCCGGGAGGGAGGACCAGCAGGACGAAAAACCCGAGAGTGGAGCCACAAGGCTGGCCTGCTGAGGGGTATCCAAAGAAAAAGTAGGGGGTCGCCCCACAGGCTTGGAGGGCTCCACCACCACCTCTCCCTTCCTACTTGACCAGGGCGAGTGGACAATAGTGCACAGCGCTGGAACCACTGGGTTTGGGCGGCCAGAGCTTCTGGGAATGAAAGGTCCTGGGGGCCTGGGTTCAATAGCATCACGGCAACCGGATGGCCAGACCCGCGTCCTCACTGCTGCGCTCCCGGGAGCCAGACCACATCCTCGGTGCTCCCGCTTCAGGGAACTCGGGGAGGTGGTGCTGTCGTCACCCCACCCCCCCGGATTCAGGGAACTGGGGCCAAGAATGACACCTCCAGAAAGGGACACTGTTCACAAATGCCAGTCTGGGTTCAGCCCCACCGCTGGTCCCTGCAACAGTGAAACCTGGTCTTGCTCGCTAGCCGCTCCCTCCCCACCGTCCAGGAAGCCCTCAAGGCACCTGAGTCCAGGGCAGGGCGCAGTGGGCACCCATACGCGGCCAGGCCGTGGTCAGAGACCATTTTATCCGGCCTGCTCCGAAGCCCTGCTGGCGTCAGAGGTCACTTTCATTGTCACATCGACACTGCGGGGCTTCCTAGACGGCATCATCTCTGCCACCAGCGGCGCCCCCTCCCCGTCTGCGCTACCTGCAGCGAGCGGTGCGGCAGGGCATGGCAGGCCCCTGGTGCGGCTGGAGGTTCCCAGAGGCAAGAACCTGCAGGTGCGTGTCTGAGCGTCTGAAGCAGAGGCTGTGCCCGCTGCTGGTGCCCCTGATGTGCCAGCTCCACCACCTGGGCAGACGGGTCTGATGGGCACCGTGGAGTGCCCGCTGCTTCCACTGCCCTGCTGACCCCTGAGTGCCGGGAAGGGCTGCAGCTCTTACCGCCTCCAAAACGGCGCGGGCGGCCTCGCGGTGGGGGAAGACCCCGGAGCCTGGCAGATCGGGCACCACCGGGTGCAGCGCGGGCTCGGGAACCGTCACGACGCGCTGGCGGCCTGCCAGCTGCCACCCCTGTTGGTCCCGCCGCTCCCACAGGTGCAGCCACACCTGGCAGCTCGGGTCGCCCACGAACTCGCCCAGGCGGGGACGCTGGGCGTCCGGGCAGGCGTCCAGCAGGGCGAGCAGGGCGCTGCGGGTGTCGGGGCGGTCCCGGGGGTCGTGGAGCAGGACCCCGCGCTGCAGGCCCGCGGGCCCGGCGTCCGGCCAGTAGCCCAGCAGCTGGCGCAGCTGGCACTGCCCGAGGGGCCCCTGGCGCAGCTGGCGCAGCAGGCGCTGGTGCAGCCGCGCCGCCCGCACCCGCGCCGCGCAGTCCCCGCCGAGCGCCGCGGGACGCACAGCGAGAAGCTGCGGCCGGGGGCGCCCAGGAGCGCGGCGGCGCGCCCGGGGGCGTCGCGGGCGTCGGGGGCGTCGCCCAGGGCGAAGTGGGCCAGCTGGCAGTCGGGCAGCTCCAGCGCGAAGCGGGGCGGCGGCGCCATGGCCCGAGCGCAGTGCCCGCGACGCGGCCGCGGGAGGCAGCCGAGCAGCGGCGGGGCGCGCGGGCCGCGGGCGAAGGCCATGGGCGCTGGGGCGGCGCGCCCGCCCGCCCTCCTGCCCGCCCGCCCCCCGCGCCCCACCCCGCGCCCCACCCCGCGCGCGGGAAACGAAAGCGCAGCGGCCGGAGGGGCGGGCCCGGGCTCCGGGGCCTCCGGCGCCCGCCCGGCCTCGCCGCCCCGCTTGGCCCCTCCCCGCCCGGGTCAGCCCGCGAGCCCCGCCGCAGCCACCGGAGCCCGGAGACGCCCCGGGCGCGCCCCGCCCCGCGCCCGCCGCCCGGAGCGCTCGCCTGGCCGCCCGGTGTGGTGCGCGCGAGCGGGCGCTGGACGCGGGTGACGGTTCCCCGCGGCTCGTGCGCAGAGCCCGAGGGGGGGCGGGGGGCGCAGGAGGAGCCTCCAACCGCTGTGCCCTGGCCCCGGGGTCTGCTCCCTGCGGCCGCTCTCCCGGCTCCCCGGCCCTTCTGCTCCGCGGACCCCACCCCAGGCGGGCCCTGGGGCTCCACACCACGCCCCGGCTTCCACCGCCCCCCGCGGCCCCAGGCCCCAGCAGCTGCTTCCAAGGCCCGCGCGGACCCGGCTCACACCCCTGGGCCACCCGCCCCTGGCGGCGCCCCGGCTGCAGGTGCCCCGGGGCCGCCCCTGCCCGGCCCTGCCTGGGCGGGTGAAGCCCCGAAGCCCCGACGCGCTGTCCCGTGAGGGTGGCCGGCGCATCCCCGCAAGGCCGGTGCCCTGGCCCTTGTTTAGTGACATTTATGCAGCTATTCGAATTTTTTATTCTGTTTTGACTCATTAACTAGTGTTTTTAAGAATGATTTCAAGTCAAGTAGATAAAAAAAAATCCCTGGGAAACTGTCAGAAACATTAGAATGGAGATGAAGACCCGAGGTGTGTGACTGCATGAACCCGGACTCAGCTTGGCCTTACGCTTAATATCTAAGGAAATGACATTTTCTGCCCCGAGGACCTACTGCAGATGTGCATGGATGGGCTCAGGGCCCTAGGAGACGCAGGTGCCTTTAGCTCTTAGAGAGCAGGATCATGTCTATCCTTGAGCAGCTTGACCTTCAGGCACTGAGGGCACAGAGGGGCGCGCACCCGTGTGGCCCAGGTGAGAACGGGAGACTCTTACTCCCTCTCAAACACTCGCGGCCAGTGTCGCGTCCTCCTGCCTGTTCCTGGCCCCTCTTCCAGGCTGCCCGGTCCTATTAGTCAGCTGGGGCTGCCGTAATAAAGCATGGCAGACCCAGTGGCCTAGACAACACACGGGGTTCACGGAGCTCTGAGAGGAAGCGCCCTCCCACTGTGTCCTCCTGGCCTTTCCTTTCTGTAGCCCCCCAGGTGTCTTCCTGCCTCCAGATTTCCTCTTCTAATAGGAGCACCTGTCAGATTGGGTCAGGATCCACCCTGGAGGCCTCTTTTTCACCGTAACCACCTCATTAAGGGAGGCTCACATCCAGGGTGCTGGGCAGGCAGGGCCTCAGCCTCCGAACGGAGGACACGGTTTAGCCCCTGAGCTCCACACGGCTCTGGGCTCGGAGCCTCTCTCCCGAGGTGATCTGAGTGGTGCGTGAAGTCAAGTTTTCACTCCCCGCGGTCTCCACTCTCCCGTCGGTCTGGGCGCCCTGGAGCCCCGTGGTGGTGAGCGGCAGGTCCCTGGGTCTGCGATGTATTTAAACACACACAGGTTCTCAATTCTGTAAATGAGGGAAATAAGTCCATTCAACAATGATGTTACAACCGGTAAATAGGGGAAGTGAAAGAGTCTGAAGTGTTTGCAAAACACACAGGGAAGGAAGTGCCAGGCTTCCAAGACATTCCCACAAATCAGAGGTTAGAGCACAGAAACCTCAATACAAAATTGGGCAGGCAGTTTGAACAGGTGAACAAGGAGGACACCGGTGGCTAATGCATGCAAGATGCTCGGCCCTCTAGTGATCAGGGCTAGAGAGTGAGCCCCAGGGAGCTACCTGAGGGATGGCTGACATGGAACCAGAGAGCAAGCACATCAGAAAGGGGCGGTGCCAATTGTGGGGCACCCGGGACCCTCAAAGTTTGGTGGTAAGAGGGTTCCATTGGTTTCCCATTGGTTCAACCACCATGGGAAACTCTTCAGGGTATTTCTAAAGCATGCATGCATGCATGCTCCCCATGAACCAGGGGTCCTGCTGCGCCTGGGCATAGACCCAACATAAATGCAGACCTCTCTGCACCAAAAGGGGCGGACAGGGCTCTCAGCGCTGCAGCGAAGTGTTGCAAACGTCGCATCATAGGGCGACCGCATGGACCGCAGGAAGTGCTGGAGCCGTGTGATGGTCGGAAGTAGCCAGGCGGATTCCACAGCCTCTTGGTGACCTCCTGCCCAGCGGGGGGCAGTGCCCGAGGGGTGAGCGGGTGTTGGCAATCGGCAGTTACCTGTTGGGTCTGGATGTCTGCAGAGGCAGGCTCCAGTGCAGCAGGGAGCCTGGCTGAGGAAGGCGCCACCCTGCTTCGGCGGCTGTGGCTTCCATGAGGCTTCAGCCCGGAATGTAGCTCCCTCCTCTCCACCGCTAGCAAGCAGACGCCTCTGCCCCCTTGTTCCACGGAACAGGAAGGGCTTGGGGTTTATCTTGAGAAAGCTCTGCCGACGGTGGCCCTCGGCAGGCCTGTGGCGGTCAGGCTGGTCCCCAGGGCCTCAGTTTCTATTTCGTTACGAGCCTCAACAGGCACTGACGCCCGCAGAATCCGAGCCTGGGGCTCTAAGGCACGCGCCCCACATAATTCAGTCAGTCCCGGGGCCAGTGCACCCGCGCTGAGCCGGCTCCAAGCCACGTCCGGACGGACACACAGATGTTCACAAGCATCCAGGGCACCCGACCCTTGTGAGCTCTTTGCCAAAAGGGACTTGGACTTATTTATTTCGTTTCTATCTAGCGATGCCGTGTCTGTGACGCGGGAGGCCTCGAAAACTGCCTTGGAAGGGAAGAAGGGACAGGAAGGCGCGAGAACGCCTGGCCGCACGGGCGGATGAGCTGACGAGCTGGTGCATGAAGACAGGAAGCTGCTCGGGCAGAACAGACATAGGAAGCAACAATGAAAAATGCCGTGATGGCAGCGCCGTTCCGGGCCTGGGCCCCCCGGCGTGAGAAGCCAGCGGGTGTCCAGGCCCGCACCTGCCGCCTTGCTAGCGCCGGGAGGCTGCTCTGGTGTGTTGCGCCTGAGACGCCCAGCGCTAGTCCTCGGGATGCCCCTGAATCCGTAAACACCCCCCGCGAGTGAGACCTCCTACCAGAACCCCAGGTGTGGCAGCAAGGTCAGGCAGGTCATGGGTTCACCCTGGGTTGCCCAACACAGGCTGAGCCTGCGCTTGACCCTTGACACGTTTTCCTGGGAAGCCTCTGCCAGGGGGCAAGTACTGCGCTGCTTGAAATGTAAACCGGTTGGGTTTCCTTTCTCTCCGCGCGTGACTGAGCCACGCCAGCACTTGCGCGTGAGTCACAGCCGGGTGAGTCCAGCCGCTGAGGCTGCGCGGGGCTGGCCCCGGCCCTCCTTGCATACCTGGCGATCCTGGCGCAGGGGACAGTTGTTTGGCTGAATTTGTTTTTGGTTTCCTTTCTAGGTAAAGTGAAAATCACCTTGTTTCCATTCTGGAATAATAGCAGGAAGCCCCGACTGACCCTTGGAATTTTCCAGGCTCCATTCCAAGTGATTTACTTCAGTGAGAATTTTTAGTCTTCCCAAGACTCCCGTGAGGAGACCCAGGCTGGCAGCGCAGCCGGAGACCAGAGGCATCAGCGCCTCGCCCGAGCGGGTGGCAAGCCTGGTGTGCAGCTCCAGAAGCCAGGACACCCCGGTTTCCTGCGCTCAGACCCTGGGGGAGGAGGCACACAGCCTGGGGGCAACGTGAACAGCCCTGTCTGAGAAAGCAGTAAAACTAACCCCGAGCGTCTCGCCCGCTGAGACGCAGCTTAGCACAGCATCCGGCTTCTTGTTGCTCGGAAGGCTGCAGACTCCTGGCCGGCCGGGAGCGAATGCAAGCTGCGGAGGCTGGGAACAGCTCGTTCCCAGATCCATTCACATGCCGTCCAGGAGGCAACAACTGCAAGAATGAACCAAGCAGACACCCTCTCCTCGGTGACGGCCGCGGAGCAGCGCCTCGCAGGGAAGGGGCGGGCGGCGCTGGGCCCGGTGGGGAAGGCGAATGCCGGCCATGGTGATGCCCGGGGCCGTGAGCCCGACCGCACAGCACGTCCCAGCCAGCGCGGCTGTAGAGAAACGCAGGGAGACGTGAACATGTGTGTTCCAGGGCCCTCGAGGGACATCAGTGAAGCAGGAGGAGGGCGCCAGCCGGTCGGCTCCACACACTCTCTCTGCCCGCTCGGGGTCTGCCCCTCCGCGCTCTCTGGGCCTCAGGATGAACTTGGCTGAACCCGTACGGGACGGACAGGGCAGAAGCCTTAGGGGGGGCCCTTGTGTGCAAGACCCCCCATTCCCGAGGGGGCATGTCAGGACGGCAGTGTCCCCGGAAGGCCGTGTCCGCAGAGGCGGCCCCTGACCAGAGATGGGCTGGGGCCACATCCTGGCTCGTCTTGGCCGGGCTCCAACTTTCGTTTTCTTGAAGGGAAAAATGAAACTTGCGCTCAGCTGAGAGGCAGGCAGAGGGTGTGTCCGTCATCTGGTGACAGGTGCTCGGTGCATATAAACACCTGGGCCACGGGGCAGCCACATTCCTGCCACCATGTGGGTGCTGGTGGCCCCGGCCTTCGCCGGGAAGCTGCTGGGCGCCCTGTGGAGCAGCCTGCTCCCCCTGCTGTCCTGGCTCCGGGCCACCTTCTGGCTGGCGGGGACGGGGACCAAGCAGCCGCAGCCACTGCCGGGCGGCGCAGGGGCAGAGGCGTCCGCGGAAGAGGCAGAGGCCGAGGGCCTGGCGACCACCACCCCCACCAGCGTCAACTACCACTTCACCCGCCAGTGCAACTACAAGTGCGGCTTCTGCTTCCACACGGCCAAGACCTCCTTCGTGCTGCCCCTGGAGGAGGCCAAGAGGGGGCTGCTGATGCTGAAGCAGGCAGGTGAGCCCTGGCCCGGGGGGTCAGGGGGCGCGTCTCCGGGGTCCCTGCCCGCCACTCTGCGAGGACTCAGCCTCCGGAGGTTGAGCTGGGCACACGCCAAGGCCTTCTGGGCACAGACCCTGCTGCGGGGCAGTGGGCAGGCCCACCCCGTCCCCTCCTGCAAGTCCCAGGGTGCAGACGTGGGTCCCCCCAGGCCACCCAGCTTTGGGAAAGAGGCCGGTTGGGGAGGTGTTTGTCCAAAACACCTGTGGGTTGAGAGTTCCCAAAACTGCCAGAGGCGAGGGGGCAACAGAAGCCGAGCCCTGGACCACTGAGGGCCTCTGTTCACTTCCCTTTGTGGGCCGATTTCTGTCCCCCTGGCCTGAAAGGGTAGGGAGACTGATCAGACTCGAGTACACAAGGCCTCTCCGCTCTTGGGCTTGCTCACTCTACCTGTCCAGTGCCAGGGCCGCAGGTCCCCCAAACCTGTGCTCCCTCACCCCTCGTCTGCCGAGGCACCACTTCTCTCCACTGCTTAGTTGTGTAAGAACCTGCCTGGCAGGCGCAGAGCTCCCGGGCTTCAGCATGAGCTGGCCAGGGGGACCGCAGAGCCAGGGGCCACAGCCCTGCAGTTCAGCCCCCGGCGGGGGACGGAGTGGATAACAGAGCTGGGGGGAGAGGCCAGGGTGGCCAGGCTGGGAGGTGCCCCAGGCTGAGCCCAGACACTGGCGACAGAGAGTGCAGGGACCGTCGCCCCCAGGGCAGGCACCGGCCTGTTTTCTCCAGCACAGAGTTTGCTGCGTGTTGTGGGTGGAGATGACGGCACTTGCAGCCTGGGGGTCACTGGCCCCGTGCCCCGAGGCTCTCTGTGCTCCCCGCAGGCCCCGGTCAGAGCTGCATTGCCCTCTCCGAGCAATGGGTCCGCGGCAGCCCATCCGGGTCGCCGCTGCCCCAGCACACCCTCTCACTACACACACCCTCTCACCAGCCCGAGCCAGGACCCCCTGCAAGGCCCGTGGTGACATCAGCGTCTCCCAAAGCCTGTGTCCCCAGAGCTCTGGGCTCAGCTGGGGCCACCTTCAAGCCCGGCCACCCTGGCCTCTCCCCAGAGCTCTATCGCCCCCTGCCCCACAGTGGCCTAAAGAAGCGCCACGATGCCCGGCGTCCCGAGGGTGGACGGACCCGGCTGCCGAGGGCGCCCTCTTCCCTGGCACTGGACTTTGCGCTGCTGTTTTGTTTCTCCTACCCGGGCCCCCAAAGAGCTTGCATTCCAAAGTCGAGGCTTAGCACCCGTGCGTCTCTACACCCAGGACAACATCTAGGAAGCCACAGGGGCCTAAAGCGTGTCTTGGTGATGAGCGAACACGAGGTAAAGAGGCTGGAGGAGCCTCCATGGGCGTGCGCCGCCCTTGGCCCTCTGGGCACACCGAGACGCCAACCATCCCTGGTGCCAGGGTGATGATCTTTAAAATGCAGCCAATCATAGCTCCTATGCCAGCCTCGAAAAGTGGTTGCAAGGCATAAATCAGTGTATGCTGATGTGTTTGTATAAATAATAAATTGTCCTAAGGGGTGATAGTACTTTTATATCGTGGCCTCTCAGCGTTCGGTTAGTAAGATCCAAGTGGATTCAGATGGCTCGGTGTGTTTGTGACTGTAATGAGATTTCTGGCTGGTGGAGGAAAGTATATTTTTGGTTATGATTGAAAATTTAAATTTGCATTACAAGTTAAATCAAACATATTTCAATGCAAACTATTTTTTAAATGAAAATGTCCTACTTTGGCTAGAAATGCTGCAAAAAGAAGTATCACTTGCTGCTCAGACTTCTAAGCTGAGAGGCGCACAGGGAGGTGGCCCCTGAGTACCTGCTGGCCTGTGCTGTAGCCCGTGGGCACCTGCCTGGCCCCTGAAGGCCATCCGTGCCCGTCCTGCCCTCCAGCATCTCAGTCTTCGTCCTCACGCTCAGCGCCTGTGGCTCCGGCCGGGCCCGGCCTTTTTTCTCAGCTGGCCCCACGGCAGGGGGCTCCTCCGAGTCACAGCCTTGTGGAGAGAACTGAGAGGTCCTGCCCGGTCGGCCTGCCAGGCCTCCCTCTGGGGTTAGATCTTGAGTAACTCATTGAACCTTCCTGGACTCAATTCCTGCTACTGAGAACCAGGCTGGTGCCTTCCTCTGCTGTGAGCATAAGGGTGTTCTGAGCACGCTGCCGCAGGGGAAGTGCGGGGTGCAGAGAGCACCTGGGAAGAGCTGCCCAGCCCCTGGGCGCAGAGGAGGGGGCTTAGGGGTGAGGGGGGCATGAAGGCGGGGAACAGTGCAGCTGCCCACAGGGAGGCCGGGGGAGGGGAGAACAGGCTGGGGGTGGAGCAGCCTTTCATGTGGCTGCTGAGGACAGGGACAGAAAGGGCAGGGCAGGCCGGCTTGGGTCATGTCAGCAGAGCCTGGCCAAGGGGCCGCTGGCCGTGCAGAGAGGGGTGGCCATTGTGGGGGCAGAGTGAGGCTGGGGGGCGGGGTTGACTGACTTGCTAGCTCAAAAAGAGCTAAACAGCCTCAAGCCAGAACCTTGAAAAACTGGGTCAAGACAGCATCATAAAACATTTTCAGGCGACTGCACAGGTGGAATGGTCAGCCCAGGGGCTGGCACTCGTGGCTGCACGGCAGGCTGGGCGGGGGCACTGACGCACGTCCCGGGGACCTGGTGGCCCTGGTGCCCGGCCCTTCCCGAATGCCCAGACCCTCTGCGCTGCTGCTGGCACTTCTGCCACCTCCCTCCAGCCGGCCTGTCCATGCTCTGGCGGGCTGATGCTCCTCTGAGCTTAGATTCCAAACGGTCCATTTCTGGGGCTCGTCCCCATGCCCCTGTCCGTGTTTGGAGCAGGCAGGGCTCTCTTTCCCGCCTGAGGGTGCTGCCTCAGGCCTGCGGCCTCAGTGCCAGCTGCTGGGCTCGTCCTGGGGTGACGTGCAGGAGCAGCCGTCCCTGCTTCCCCAGTCTCTGCGCAGTCCCCAGGCGGCGCTCCTCTGGCTTCTGTGCAGCCGTCCTCTGTGCGGCTCACCACCCGCAGCACCACTGTGCTCTGTCAGCCAGGAAGAGCAGACAGGCTGCAGGAGATGTGTTCCCCGGGCCTGGTACATGCTCTGGTAACTCCCTGAGTGTGCTGAGGGGCTGGGCCTCCGGGACCTTGACATCTTTTTATGTCATTTTGTTGTAGAGCAACCCCGATACAAAACGGGGTGCCTGACTGTGGGTCCTCACCCGCGCCCTTCAAAGGACTTATCAATGCTCTCCTGCAGGCACACGCGAAAGGTTAATAAAAGGTTTACTGACAAGGGAAGGGGAAATGAGGAAATGTACAGCTCTGGGAGAAAAGTGGGAGACAAAGTTTTCAATGAGTCCTACCCGATCCGCCGATCAGGAATCCCAAAATGGCGCTCTCAGAGTTGGCCGCCAGCCAGGAGCGGTGAAGCCAGGCGGCGAGCGATCGCGAGCCAGAGAGAGCCCAAGGCCCACGTGTTTGGTTTTTATATCCAACCTGGCTGCCCAACTCCACCCTCAGGTCCCAGCCACCCTCCCTTGGTGGTGATGGGATGTGTCTTTCCCAGAGTCTTGATGGCTTTAGTCTGGAGTGGGGGTGGGGTCCACAAAGCCTGTATGGGATTATCTCAGGACATCATTTCCCCCTAACAATTCCCCCCTTTCACTTTTTGCCACCATTTCCATGGTGATGAAGATCAAACATATGGATGCTGGGATACAGTCTCAGATGAAAACTTTCCAGGGTTCCAGTCTGAAAGAAAACGAATCCCTCCAGGTAGTGTCCATTGTGGAAAGCGAAAGTCCTACAGTCCTGGAAAAACAGTTCATCAGTCCCAGCCGAAAGAAAACATCTGGAGGCATTAGCCAGAACAAGACAGCAGATATGTCAAAAACCACAGGAAAAAAAAATCTTAAAATGGTTCAACTTATGTAAAAACAAATTCTCTCAACCTTGATCCCAAATTTTTAAACAGCATAGTAAGGCCACCATAGATATGGTGGAATAAAAATTAAAAGGGGGGATTGTAACAGGGGGGTCCCCAGGAAAGGGGGAGGTTCCCTGCCCCACCCAAGGGAGGGTGGAGCTGAGCAGGAAGAGGAGAAGCTGCAGAGGAGACTGAGGAAGGAAGGAAGCAGGATGGAGCCAGGAGACCTGGAGGAGGTGCGTGGAGCCTAGAGACACGTGAAGAAACTGCGCTTGTCTTTTGGTCGTGGACGGGGTGACACAGATGTGGGTGAGACCCGTGGGGAGGTGACCATGGCGGCTTTTATCTTGATGTTGATTTTGCTCTTTTCCTTCCGGGCTTATCCGGTTGTTTGTGACCCTTTGCTGTGGGTCCCCACTGGAAGATGTTTTAGACTTGTGGCAGGCGGCTTTGGGGCCTTGCTCTGGGCCAATCCCATTTGGATGGAGTTTTACCCACGAGGGGACGGGTAACTTTGGGTGCTTCATTTAGAAACTAGACTCTTTGCCTTACCTGTATTGTTTCCTAGTTTTATTAAAGTTCCTTCCCATTAAAGTCTCCTATGTTTTGTGTTGATGCGGCGGATGGCAGAACCCATGTAGAATAGGCAGGTTTGCGGGGTTTGGGCTGCCCCTCTCCCTGCCCTATAACAATTTCCGTTGCTGCGAGGAAAGGATGTTTGGGAACTGTGTGTGGGGCAGAAGGTGGAAGAAAAGCTTCCTGTGGGCTTCTCACAGGCATGGAGAAGATCAACTTCTCCGGGGGAGAGCCGTTCCTGCCCGAGCGCGGCGAGTACCTGGGCCAGCTGGTGAGGTTCTGCAAGGAGGAGCTACGCCTGCCCAGCGTCAGCATCGTGAGCAACGGCAGCCTGATCCGCGAGAGCTGGTTCAAGGCCTACGGTGAGCTGCGGGCGTGCCTGCCCTTCCTAGGCACAGGGCCAGGCCTGGGGGGGGGGGGGGAGGCCAGCCTGAGGGGCTCTTGCTAATCTCTTCCCAGCTGCCTGCAGCCTGGGTGGTGCTCCAGGGCGGGTGGTGCTCCGGGGCGGGTGGTGCTCCTGAGCTCTGGGTCAACAAGCATGGCCAGAGCGATAGGGGGAGGCTGGCAAGCCCAGCCTCAGGATGCCCGGGGTCACCGTTAATTGCTGTTGCTCTTGGCTCTGCCGCTGGCAGGGAATCAACCCCTGACAGTTGTCAGCCCGACAGCCTCACTCTCCGCTTCCCATGCACGTTAATCTTTAAAACCAGTCACAGAAATAGCTGTTGTGCACCAGTCGCACGAGTGAATGAAGCAACTGCGTGAGGTGGGCACTCTTGCCTCTGGCCGCATGTGTGGATGCGGAAGAACTGAACTATCTGTGGGGCCTGGGCCAGGCTCATCGTGGGTCATTGCCAGGGGCTCCAGGCGGGTGGTCCGGGCCCCTTACAACTGACCTATTTTAGGGTTTGCTGAGAAAGCACCCCATCAGTTAGTCGTCTTTTCCCAAAACACTATGCCATTTGGGATGTATTGGAGAGCAGCCTCCGGGCCACTCGGGAGTTGTTTTTTTTTTTTTTTTTTTTTTTTTTTTTTTTTTTTTTTTTATAGAGGCATGTTTCTTCTTTATTTGTTTGTTTTCATTTATACATGCACTGGGTACAGTCAGAAGCGCGGGAGGGTGAGAGAATTCACCAGAGCCAGAGTGGGGAGCAGAGCAGGCAGAAGGACCGAAGCACACTGCTGAGGGGAGCAGCGGGCGGCAGGAGAGGTCTGCGCGCCATGTGGGACCCTCCTCCGGTGGCCGGGGAGCAGCCGGGATCGAACCGGCGCCAAGAGGTGCGGGCAGCTTCGCAAGCCAGCGCTCAACCGCTGCGCCACCGGGGAGGCCCTCGGGAGTTGTTTTAAATAATGGTCCATTTCCTGGCGCTGGCCCGGTGTGTGCCGGGTGCTTGGGGGCCGCTCCGCGGCTGGCCCTGGGGGGATGGAGACCGCGCAGGAAGTGGTGCTGAGCACGCTGGGCAGCAGCTCGTGGGCAGGGCTGTCTTTCTCCAGCTGTCATCCAGAGTGAGGTCTGTGACCTCACATGCGCCCCCAAACCGGGGTCAAACTTGCTCTGATGACAGAATTAAACGCGTTACTCAAAGAGCTCTCAGAGCCTGCGTTGCTATCACTTGTGAGTCGGTGGGAAAAGCTCAGCCCTTGGCAAAAAGCTGGCCCGAGTGCCCGGGGGAGGGAGCGCCTGTGCAGCGGAGATAAAGAGGGCACAGAGGGCAGGGCAGGAAGCCATGTCGCAGAGGCCAGCACGGCCCCGGGAGGACGCTTCTCCACATCCTTGCTCCTGTGGCCAACCCAGATGTGCTCCCGGAAGAGCTTTCCCCTCCGACTCCTCCGTCAAGCCGGTTCCTCGGCTCCATCCGTAGGGAACACAGCGCCCCCACTCGTCTCAGGTTCTGCGGTGAGAGGGCGAGTCAGGCATCCCAGGATGTCTCCAAGGAGCCCAGGACCTGCCCCATGGTGAGGCTCCTCCGCAGAGCAGCTCAAAGCAAATCAGTAAATGTTCCAGGTGTGGAGGAGCCTGTGCATCTGCCCTCCTCAGAAGGCCAGGCCGCCCCTGCAGGAGTTGATGGGGTACCTCGCTGAGGTGCGGTCACAGAGGTGCACTGAGGTGCACTGAGGTGTGGTCACACAGGTGCACTGAGGTGTATCCGCACAGGTGCACACACATGTGCGGCCTCAGAACAGTCAGGCGGGCAGTCTCCAATGCCTTGTGATAGGTGTGCATTTTTTCAAGATTATTTTACATGAATATCAGGTTAAATGTTCCAGCGAGTGTTAAGGACCTGAGAAAAAAATCTTTAAAAATTAAAACACACACAGGGCCTCCCCTGGTGGCGCAGCGGTTGAGCGCTGGACTACGAGGCTGCCCGCAGCCTCTGCAGTGCCAGTTCGATCCCCGGCCACTGGCGAGGGTCTCACAAAAATTAATTAATTAATTAATTAATTAATTAATTAAAACACACACAGACGCAAGGACGGGGCTCATTACAGTGAGGTAGAAACGGTTGGAGCGCTTGGCTCTCAGGTGGAAAACTCAACCCAGACCTTTGCCGCAGGTGAGTACCTGGACATCCTGGCCATCTCCTGCGACAGCTTCGACGAGAGTGTCAACGTCCTGATCGGCCGTGGCCAAGGGAAGAAGAACCACGTAGAAAATCTCCAGAAGCTGCGGACGTGGTGCCGGGACTACCGGGTGGCCTTCAAAATAAACTCCGTCATCAATCGCTTCAACGTGGACGAGGACATGAACGAGCAGATCCGCGCCCTGAGTCCCGTCCGCTGGAAGGTGAGGACGGGGGGTCACCCTGCTGCTCTGGGAGAGCCGCAGCCTCACAGGATACGGAGACCCAGACTCTGCCCCTTCTCTCAGCCTGATAACCTTTAAACAGCTTACCCGCTCTCTGCCTCAGTTTCCCTTCTGAAAACCAGAACTGATTCCCTTCTGGAATATTCTGGAATACTGGGCTGCGCCCAAGGGCCTGGGGTGTTCCAGTGGATATGTGCATAGAATCCCGACCCGGTGTGAACTGATGGCTGTGGGACTGGAGCTGCTCTGAGAGCCCCTGGTTTATCTGCGCGTAGATCAACGTTCTCCATGAACTCTGGGTTGAAGTCTGTGAAGAGGTGTGGGGTTCGTGAGCAGGGTCCCAGGGTTCTCTGGGGGAAAACTCCCCTTTCAGCGGCACACGGCGAGTTTTCCCAGCAGACCGGGCGCTGGCCCGGACACAGGCAGGTGCAGGCTACGCCTGCGGTGTGAAAGGACAGCTCTGCCAGGAGAGGGAGGAGCGAGAGAGGCGGCAGGAAGCTGCGGTGAGGGGGCGTGAGCCCGTGGGTCTGACCCAGGCTTTGGGCCACGCTGCCGTGACCCAGCTTCCAGCTCTGCCTTCGGGCGGCGAGGGCCTCTGCTCTGCCCACAGGACAGCCCTGACCGGCCTGGGGCTCAGGGCCTCAGCGGGGTCTGCCGGCAGGGCCGGAGCGAGCACAGAGGGCGCTGTTTTGATGACTAAATGTTGGCAAAATGATGCGTAAGTCCCCGGAGGGGAGGCCTCTGACCCAGGCTCAGGGCTGGGTGCCGTGCTCAGCTGCCACCCTCGGCCACCTGTTGTCACCCAGCTGCTCCTTCCAGGAGGTGGTTTCCTGGATGATGGAAACATGCCGGTAACCCCCATGCACACACATACCACACCGCGCACCCCACACCCCACGCATTTATTTCCTTACAAGACAGTCCCAGGAGGGTGGGTGGCGGGAGCTGCCCGTGTCAGTGCCACGCCAACACGCGCTCCGCCCGCAGGTCTTCCAGTGCCTCCTCATCGAGGGCGAGAACGCGGGGGCGGACGCGCTCAGGGAGGCCGAGAGATTCGTCATCAGCGACCAAGAATTCGAAGCCTTCCTGGAGCGCCACAGAGACGTGCCCTGCTTGGTGCCCGAGTCCAACCAGAAGGTCGGGGGATGCACCCGCCGGGGGGTCGGAACAGTGCTCCGGGGCCAAGTATCCCGGCCGCGCCTCCCAGCTGCGGGGCTTTGGAGGGGACCCCAGAGCGGGAGAGGGGCTGGCCGACAGTGGGGGGCAGGCGGGGGAGGGGAGCGGGGATTAGGACGCAGTGGACACGCCCTGGGGACGCAGACTGAAGACCTCGTCCTCGGCCTGCGGTGGGGAGATCAGCTTGGGGGCCACTGTCTGGGGAAGCTCCTGAGTCACCTTCGACCTTTCCACGAGGAAAAGAGACACAGGGCAGGCCTGCCAGGGTCTGCTGACTCTGCCGGGCACATAGACGCCCCTGGAAAGGCGAGCTGGGGGCACCACGGGAGGGACACACCAAAAGCCAGTTGGTGACAGGAAGGCTGGACCCCAAGTAGTCACACACACACTCACACACACACTCACACACACAAACACCACACACACACACACACACGGTAAGACAGAAACACAGAAAACAAGCCTGAAACTAAATGTGTGTTTCATTTCTCCTGCAGATGAAAGACTCCTACCTTATTCTGGATGAGTACGTGAGTATCTCTGGTGAACACGGGGCCTCCTTGCAGATTCGCGCGCGGCAGGGCCGGCTGGAGTCCAGCTGCACCTGACCCGCCCACGCAGGGTGGGCGCAGTGTGAGGAGTGCTCACAGCCCCACCGGCAGCTGGAACCCCAGCCCCCGAGTGGCCAATGCCACCAGCAGGGCCCCTGTGACACTGTCCTGGACCGGGACCCCGTCACATCAGCATTGGTTCCCCAGGTGCTGCAGCCCCCCTCAATGGGGGTCCCTGCTTTGTGGCGAGAGGGTGCAATTCCCCTCCAAAACCTCTACTATCCCTTCTCGGCTGCCTTGCGAGGGAGAAAGGCAATCTTCCCTTCTCAAAGGTGGAAGTGGTAGCTGGGGCCTCCTGGTGGCCTGGGGTGAAGCCTCAGTGCTGTCACTGAGTCCGATCCCGGCCAGGGAGTGACCACGGCACAGCAGACCTCTCCTGCTGTGCCCGCTGCTCCCCTCGGCAGTGTACTTCAGTCAGTCTGCCTGTTCTGCTCCCCACTCTGTCTCCGGTGAATCCTCTCACCCCCCTCATCTGGCCTGCACCCCAGCTGTCCTATGCAAAAAAGAAAAAAGCAAAAAGAAAGTCAGTAGCTTAGCTCTTCCCCGCCTTCCTGTGGTCTGGATTATAAGGCTTTGCCAAGATTTCTAACACAGGACAACAGTCCACTCTGAGACCTGTGGTTTTTTTTTCTCTTATTAGTTACTTTATTTATCAGTTAAACTAGTCATCTTCGTCCGTTGTCTGGTGACATCTAAAATAGAACAGGACAGCAGGCTTGAGAATTGCCGAGGACGTCGTAAACGTTAGTTTTGCTGGAGCAGGTGGCAGCTAGACTCAGGGCGGTGATGATGTCACACCAAATCACGATGTCACACCCTGAACCCCTGTAATGTCGGTGCCAGCTCTGCCTCAGTAAGAAAGGAAATGTGACATTTTCCCAGACATCACTAAAAGGAGAGCAAGACAGAGTCGGGGGTCGTACTTGTCCTGCGGCTGGCGCATCGCCGCGCTATCCTGTGACTTGGTGTCGCCTTGCTGTCCAGGGCCCGCGCTTCCCACCCGTCAGCCTTTTGTCCAGAAGAGAAGCGCTTCGTTCCGGAGCATGAGGGGGGGCGGGTGTCAGCGCAGGTGCAGGTGCTGGTCCTTCCAGGGAGAAGGGCCCAGCCTTACCCCGAGGTGGGATTTGGCAGGACCCTCTCTACCCGTCTCCCGTGTCCACACAGCGAGGCGGACAGAGTGGGCCTAAAATGTGCTTTGGAGGATTTTAAAACGTTTTGAGTCGAGGAGCTTCACGTGGGCTCATACGCCAAGGCCTGGCTCCAGCGCAGGTGACTCCTGCGGATCAAACCAAGACCCTGAGCACTCACGAGACCCTTTGAACTGGAGCCCCTGCCTCTGTCACTCTTTTCTGATCTCTCTCCCCTTTTTCCAAAGACTTGTTTGTGTCTACACCACCACACACGTGTGCACAGCCCTCATGCCAGCAACGGCGTCTACCCGCCGTCCCCCAAATGCCCCCGATGGGCCCCCGCCACGCCCTCTCTCCAGCTTAGAGTTTTAGAGCAGAACTCAGATGTCACATTTTGGAAGCCTTTCTTTGTCTTTCCCTTTTTTTAAAGATTTATTTATTTATGCACACAAGAGCTGGGGCGCAGGCCAGAGGTGTGGGGGTGAGAGGATTCACCAGAGACAGAGTGGGGAGCAGAACAGGCAGGCTGACTGAAACCCACTGCTGAGGGGAGCAGCGGGGAGACAGGGGAGGTCTGCCACACCATGTGGGTAGCTCCCTGGCCAGGGATCGAACTCGTGCTGCAGTAGCTGGCGATAGCTTCATACCCAAGGAAACCTTTCTTAATGAACTCCCCCGCTCCCCGCATGAAACGACATAGCCCTTCTGTGGCAGGTGTATAATTCTGTTTATCGAGGATTTAATTGATCAAATACGTGACGTGAGGAGAGGGGCTGGCTGAGTGGAGGATGGTGTGGAGCTGTTTCCTTTCTACGCCTCCGACCCCGACTCTTGGCAAACATTTACTGAATCATGCGGGATGAGCCCCCAGGTTGAGTCTGCGGGAGAGTCTATGGGCATATCCCAATGCCCGTCCTGAATTTCCTAGATGCGCTTCCTGAACTGCCAGAATGGGCGGAAGGACCCTTCCAAGTCCATCCTGGACGTTGGAGTAGAAGAAGCGATCAAATTCAGCGGATTCGATGAAAAGATGTTTCTGAAGCGAGGCGGGAAGTACGTCTGGAGCAAGGCGGACCTGAAGCTGGACTGGTAGGGCTGAGCGTGGCCCGCGCGGGGCCGCCCGGCAGCGGCGTGTGCGGAGTGTGGCGCGTTGGCCTCCAGCCGCCCCACCTGACCTCGGCCACCCTGACCCCCGCGTGCGCCGGCAACCCGCCCGGACACGCGGCGAGCCAAGCCGTGAGCCCAGCGCATCCGCTTCTTTGTGTTTCCGATTTTGGGTGTTCAGCTTTGTGTGGCGATTCCTTTCCATGCCGAAGCCTCCCCCGGCCTCCTCCTCCCGCAGAGCGCGTCCCTCCTGCTCACCCCTGAGGTGCCAGTTTCCACACTTGGAGAAACTGCCAAGTAGCTCCAGGTTATTTCTGCTGCCCGTGTGGCTTCTTCCTTTTCTACCTCCCGCCATTGCAGTCTCGGACTTTTGACCCAGAACCTTGGGAGCCGTCGGCAGGCCTTTAGAGGAGCACAAGCCAGGAGCTTGCCGGCCTGCGGAGTGCCTGGGGAGGGCCGGATGGTCGGTCTCCGGCCCCGCCGGCTACTCTGTTGCGCCCTTTCTCTGCAGAAATTCGCCGTAAAGCCAAGGAGACTTCATGGTTCCCGAGGAGCCGGAGGGGCAGGCGGTGGGTGGCTGCCTTCCGGCCGCGCTTCTGGGCCCACTTGAGTCAGAGGGTGGTCTCCACCTCTCTGGGATGGGAGCGTGCCGGGTGGGAAGAGCTGCTCTGAAAAAGGGGACGAAGGTGGTGAAGAGAGAATGTGCCCGGGTGCTCAGCCTCACGCCGCCGTTTCTCAGTGACCTGAGTCGCTTGGAATAAGGCCACGATGTAGGTCAGTCTGAGAATCCAGAACCTTCCTTTTCCAGCAGGAAGTTGGAGCTGCGCGAATGGCCCTGCAACTGGCTCAGGGGACACAATCGGCTCCTGTGGAAATATCCCACGCAGTTTGGGGACGTGACCTAGATGCCATCTCACTCTCCGGAAGAGGATAATTTCCCATCATTGTTGAATTGGAAAGAGCAGGCTCTAGAAAGCCGCGGCCGGGGTTCAGTTTATCCGCTGCAGCTCCGGGGTGGGTCGCCAGGTGGCGGCACACGTCCCGCGCGGGTCTGTTTCCGAGAGTGTGCAACTGCAAGCTGGGTTTTTGTGACTTTTTTCTCTCAGAAAAGATTTCCCTTTTTCAAATTTTAAGTCCCTCTAGTTCAGCTGCGTGGGTTTTTAAAACAAACTTTTTATTGTGCTTTGAAGAGGAAAATGAATTAGTAAGTTTCCCCCGTGGCCTGCAGGTGCACGAGGCAAGTCTTGACTGACAGCGGCGCGTGCTGCTGCCCGTCACGTTACTCAGCAAGAGGAAGTTCAGCGGAGGAAACATCACCAGCTCAAGGCCCCCGAGTCTGGTCAACAGTCGGTGTTTAGTCAGTTCTCTCTGCAGCCCAACTGGATAAAGCCTCGATTCTCAGGCTACAGCGAGTTTCTCGCCAGTCGAGGGAGACTTCTTCTCTCTCCCAAAGGTTGGGAGAAACAAAGCAAAGCAACAAACGAAATTCTTGCACTTCAGAAATAAGCTGTTGTAAACACACGCTCGGTGTTTGTACTTTTCTGTCCCGACTCCTTCTGTAGCTCATCAATTCAAGCGTTCAGGGCCGGCCGCTCTCCTGCGACACGGGTCATCATTGCTGCAACACACACCGTCCTAGCACCAGTGGAATTTTGCCTTAAGGGACTAGACGCTAATCGTATCATATTGATCGTAAAGGCACAACCAGCCTGCTAGTCAGGGCCCCGTGGCCGGAAGGTTGCCTGCTTTGAAGTGTCAAGATGGGTGAAGCCATCCTTCGAGTCATCTGAAATGTGGGCTCCTGTTCGCTCTTTCTCTGGAGTTTGGGGTCCAGTGCTGGGTGACTAGAGAGAGCAGGCGATGACACCAGCCAAGCGGCGGTGAGCTCTGCCAGGCAGGCGCGGCCGGGCACTGGCCATCCAGCTGTGGCTCCGCGGCTCTGTCCTGAGCGCAAAGGGAGCTTTCGGGGAAACATACCTGTGTTTTTCCTCCGTGTGATGGTCTTGAATGTTCGTCTGCTGTACTCTGTAAGATGCTGCAATATTTTAAAAATTTTATTGTATATCCTCTCTCAGTGGGTCTCCGTTGTGAAATGTCTCCTTCCCATGTGTTGAAAGTAACTGCAGGCCTCACACTCTCACTGCTGGGGCAAGTGCACGTTAGACACCAAGCTGTGGATCCTTCATCTGCACTTTCCGCACCTGGGCAGGGCGGCGCAGTGGTGCAGGCGCTGGGCCAGGAGGGATCCTGCCGGTGGCCGGCAGGACTGCTCTCCATGTGCTGCTGCTCTGGGAGTGACCAGGCCCGCTGTCCCCCACGGGCGGCTGCTCGGCAGAGGGCCACATAGTGCAGGGGTCACCTGCCTGGCACAGGGCTCCTGGCTGGCCCGCCAGCCCCTGCCACCCCCAAGGCCTCAGACTGGCCCTGCCTCTGTGCCACTGGCTGAGAGCAGGGGTGTCCAGGGCCTCAGAGCCCAGGGCTCCACACCCTGGTCCCCAAGTCTGCCTTGCGCTGGGTAGACTGGGCTGGCCCCCCACAGTCACGCCCCTGCAGTCCACCTGCAAGCACTGAATGCAGGGGGTGTGGCCCAGGCCCCCGCCATCAGGTGCCTGCCAGCCCCAGACTCGAGGACTGAGACCAGGGGCAGCCTGGGGCCCGGGGGCCTTGGCAGCCTTGTCTGGGGAGTGCGCCCAGTGACCGGGAAGGGTGGGGGGCGACACAAACCCGCAGTGCAAGGTCGGCTCTGACACGCTAAGGTGGGCTTCAAGACAGCAGGAGCCGTGCAATCCTCCCGGGCTCTAAGTATGTGTCCTGTGGCGTGCGCTTGACAAGCAGGCACAGCAGAATGAAGAAAATAAAAATTCCCCCTAATTGACCCACCCAGAGGGTCTGCCAGCACCTGTCGCGCCTCTCCACGTGCATATTTTTAATCAGGTTGGATTCATAATCAATTTTATTTCCCACATAGTGTCTTCTGAAGGCTTTTAAAGCCAATTAGCATTCCGATATTTTAATGAGAATAGCAAGTTTTAGCAATTCACACTAATAGATGAGGGGAGAGGCAGGGACAGTGCAGGGGCAGGAATGGTCACGGTGCAGCTTTTCTAGGATCCAGCAGACCGGGTGAAGGAGGAGTCAGAGTCCTCAGTGGTTTTGCAGGTTTTTACTGGGATTACCAGGTACACGGCAGGCAGGGGTGCCGGGGGCCGAGAGGCTGGCAGGCCTCCCAGCCCCCAGCAGGTCTTCACTCTGGGCTCTCCGGCCTTCTCTCGGCTTCTGCTTCTCTTGCTTCTTTCTCTGCTTTCGTCCGTTCTTGGCTCCTTCTTGGCTTCTGCTGGCGTCCCCGTGACGCCGCCCTTAAAAAAGCACAGTCTCAGCCCAGGTGAATCCCATCTACCTACGCCACACCCTACTCCAGGTGCCGCCATCAGGCATGCGTTCAGGACCGCAGGGATCCATCATCTAGCCTGATGGCGGGAGGGCAGACAAGCCTGACATTTTTCCTTACCCTACAGACATTCAAAAACCATAATTAATTTGAAAAAAAAAAAAAAGGCTGGTATTGGGTTTTGAGTAGTTTAGGTATTTGCGCATGACTGCAAGGGTATCTCCTGTTGTGGGGACTCACTGGCTCTGGGAGAGCCCCGCTGCACGGCATCTCCGAGCGGGGGAACGCCCAGAAGACAACTGTGCTCCAGCCAGGGCCTGTCCCTGGCCCCGCGGGGTCCGCCCTTCACCAAGCAATTCCCCTTGATTCTGACTCTTCCCAGCTGGAGGGAGGGTCAGATCCCACCCAAGGTTAAGGGCTCAGCTCCCCTGGTGCCTCTCTGCCCCCAGGTGACACCTGGTCTCCACTAATGAGCCACAGACCCAGGTTTCCTGGGCTCGCCCTTACCAGACGCACTTGCTGGAGGCCATAGAGGTTTCATCATTCAATGGCCAGTTTATCATGACAGGAAATAGCTCTGGAACCTTCCGAAAGCAGGGAAGCATGGGGCCAGGAATGGGGACGAGCCAGGAGCTTCCTCGCCCTCTCCAGGGGTGCCCCCTCCCCGATCTCCGTGGGCCCATCCGTCCACGCCTGCACGTCCACCCCACCCCAAGGGCACTAGCAGAGACGACCAGGGCCAGGGGCGTGCATCCTCCAGTGAGGCGGTGAGTTGCTGGTTTGGCCCTCAGCCCCTCCGCCTCCCCAGCCTCCCCTCCAGCTGGATCCAGCCTCTGCGAAAGCCTGGGTCTCCGTGTAGACGACTCGGCACAGGGCACGCGGGGCACCTCCATCCCCTGGGGGTTGCAGTCCTCACTGTCCATTCCTAAGTAGGAGCCCTCCAGGGCGTGGCCCCCCACTGGAATGGGGGATACAGCTTGCAGGACACCCAGGGCTTGGCAGAGCTGCCTTCATCTTCCGTGAGAGGCTGAGGTGACCTAGGGCTGCTCGGTGCCGCCTCCCGTCTCAGGGCCGCTGTGAATGTAACTCGGAGGGAGAAGCAGTGACGGGGTGCTGGCGGGAGGGGAGACCAGGGCCTGGCTTCATGCTGGCGTCCCCACACAGGCGCAGGGACAGCTTCCGAAGACGGCCGGGCCCAGCGTCTCCACGAGGCAGCTGATGAAACGGCAGCCCGGGCGGCAGCGGAGCAGGCTGGGGGTATTTAAGGTGTCCTGTCCGTGCGCACGGGAAGGGGCTGTGCTGGGGGGTGCAGGCGGCAGGTGGCAGAGGGGGCGAGCCGCGGAGAAGGTGGGGACAGGGGGGACGGGCCGTTTCGCTGGCTGCAGGAAGGAGCGGTCAGCTGGGGATGCCCAGCCTGCGGCGCCCTGGCCTGTGCTTTGTGCCCACCTGACTTATTTAGTGTCCCCCAGCTCCAGGCGCACCCCCCAGTGCCCGCGTCCTCTTCTGAGGAGGCGCTGGCGAGGGGAGGGAGGCGCGGGCGGGAGGTGACAGCTCAGAGCAGACGGGGCCAAGCTGGGTGGCGCCCCCGCCCCCCGCAGATCGCCCTCCCTGGGGCGGGGGAGCAGGCTGGGGGG